CTGATCAATGTCTCTTTCAGAAATTGAGCCATTACGCCTTTGTGATGGCCCAGAGCAGCCTTTGAAGGCACCAATTCAATGTGGTGAGTCCGAATGATGACTTACATGCTGGACTTTGGCTGATGACTCTTATTTAGAGCGCCCCAAGCCGAAGAAGATTGTTCCAGGTTCTAGGAAGCTGCCCATCAAGCTGCTGTATACATCGAGGGTATGCAAGGAACAAATGCCACCAATGATGGAGGTTCTGGCGTCAACGGGAGTTCTGACACCAACGGGAGTTCTGACCTTGCCATGCAGCCAATGTTGAGACCTGTCCAAGCCCGCCTCCCGGGCCCACGTGGCATCCAAGAACGGGCCCTCGCGCTACCACCATCATCAAGTGACTCCATGGATGCAATGTCACATGTTCATGCTGTGTCTCAGTTCCAAGTCTCACAAAATCATCATTATCCTCAGGCTGATCAGCGCCACATTGAGCCGATAAACTATTATCAACACGGCAACCAGCCTGGTCAGCATTGCGAGCAGATAGACTATCAACGTGTCAGCACAACCAGCCGCAATTAGGGATCTGCACGGGTACGGGTAACCCGCGTGGGTCACGGGTACGGGTACTACTGGGGTATGGGTACGGGTCGGGATTCTAAGACCCGCACTCTTACCTATACCCCAGCTATACCCGTGCCTTCCATAAACGCGATACTTCCCGTGCATGCTACAACCGGCACCACCACCAAGCACTCACCTGCTAACACACCACCACCAGCATCCTCGCGTTCAGCAGCACTCGCTGCACCCCCCATGCCAATTCTTCCGGCACCCGTTCTAACGCCACTAAGCACATCAACAGATGCCCTCAGCCAGCAACCACCACCACCATTCACATGTTCCTCGACGCCAGCACCACCACCACCATCGCTAGCAGCTCCCTTCCAACAGCAACAACCACCTCCATCCAGGACGCCACCAGCAGCTCCCACCTCGTGCTACCAACCGCCAGCATCGAGCGTCTGCGCCCAGAGCATGCCAGCGAATGCTGGCATGGCTCGGACACATACGGAGGATACGAGGACGAGGAAAGAAGGGAAAGAGAAGGAAGTGAGAAGGAAAAGAGGAGGAACGAGAGGAGGAAGGAAGGATCTTGTCAGTAAGTCGCTGTCCTGACTCTGCCCCCATTTTCTGCAATGAGGACGCGACACCCGACACGTCACACTCTCATGCCACCACACCACCATCTCCCATTTTGACACGCTCACCTTCGACTTCGATCGTACACGACACCACCTGCCACGACATCAGCGTCTATTTCGACGCATCTGTCATTCGCGCTGTGCCTCCACTCCTCCTTGTGCCATCCACATATGTTCGAGTCACGTCAGCATTCGCTGACGTGTGCTGGACATATGTGCTAAGCACTGGCAGATCTATGACCCGCGGGTACACCCTTGATGGGTTGTACCCTGGGTCCTTACTTCGCTACCCACTGTGCAACCCGTACCCTTGCTGCGGGTGTGGGTCTACCTCGGGGTGCGGGTGTGGGTTGACCTGCCGACACCCGGGGGTTCACCCATGCGGATCCCTAGCCGCAATATCGTCAAGACATGATGTACACACATCATCCCACACCCTATGCGGCTCGGCCTGAAGCTCATGAAGGCAGAGCTGGAGGGTACCGTGAAGGCAGTGGACCATCTGGAGCCTCAGAAGCCTCTTACCAGGACTCGAGGAGCTATCGCAACGATACTCGGCCCATGTACCCCCAAGATGCTGTCTCTCGTCAAGAGTCTCGTTACCCAATCTACGCTGACAATGCTCTTAACTTACTCTACTCGTCATCTCCAGCTCCTTCTGAAGACGGCTACATGAGTGGGGCTCCATATTGATTGTGGGTACATCAACAGCACCATAATTCGTCTTGCGCATCTTTGTCATCTTGCTTCTTGCCTAAAGATATTAACGCACGTATCTATTCACATTCCTGGTGCCATCCTTACTTTTGATCCTGTGTGCTCGATGTTTCTGCATCTCACTCGTGCTTGCTTTGATTGGTAGTACTTAACTGCCTTCGATGATAGTTTACATTTGTATTTCCTATTCTGATAAATCAGAAGTGTCCGGTTGAACAAACATACTTCAGAAGTTCGCGAGGCGATCAGGATAAAAATGAATTGTTCAAGAAAAAAGCTGCTTGAGTCAAGTGATTGTAGTTACAGGGACACTCGAACTCTCCTCCCGCGCCACCTCGTCGACGAAAACTCCATGTTTTCGTCGAGGTACCAGTTCCCCCATCCTCCTGGAGATTGCATGCAACAAGGCAACGCTCGAAGGAGGCATCATCGAGGACGACGCAGAATTACAATGGTATGTTGCAGAGTATGTATCAGTAATGTCCGTGTCCGTGAGCCCCCTGAGCCTTGCAACCCTCGCAGACCCTCCATTCGACTCTCGCAGACCTCTGGGCTCCTCCTCGCTGGAGGTTCTACGAAATGCACTACGGTCCTAAACAGGATCTGAGGGGAGGCCTCCCTGTGGAGGTAGGCTTTCAGGCAGATTACTACCTACAACGAAACCCACCCTGACAGGCTCTCGGTACCTTTTCCAAGTGGTGCCAAGGGTGCTCTATCCCGCCTGGATGTTGATGTTTATATGATCTATGGTATATGTTCCCCCGAAATGATAAGCCACCCTCCTTCGTTCTATTTTATTGTGATGCGAGAGTCTTCAATGCTTCCTGTATCTTCGCCTCCTCCTGCGCCCATGAAGGCACAGGGATCCTGTATGTATCTCCGACCCGGGCATATGAAATATCGCCCACACGCGCGACGGGCTTGAATTTTGTGAGGTCGACGGCACCTCTGCTTGTGAGCATGTCTTTGCATACGTGGAAGTATTTAACGTGCGCGAGGATGAGCGTGCTGTTGTGCTCGCCTGTCACCGGGTGCGTGATGTCTATCGATTGGTAGAGCTATTGAGAGGTGAGGATGTCAGAAAACGAGCGGGCTCGGCGTGAAATGAGATTACCTCGCATTCCATGCTAAAAGCGCTTTCCTTGACGCGCGAGACTCTTATTTGCACCTGAACCCGTGATTGTTAGTCCATATATCGAATGATGAAGGTCCACACGTACGCATTTCTCCCTTGTCAGACCGCTGAGAGCCCACTCGTCGAACTCGGGAGGAGCATCTACGGCAGTCGCATTTGCATTCTCGACGAATGCCTCGCTGATGATGTTCACGGCAGATCCTTGGCCGTTCTTCAGGTTCGCGGTCGTATCTTTGAGGCTGCCCGTAGCATTGTGGTTTATCGCGAATGAGATGACAGGCGGGTAGTTCGTGACCTATGGGAAGAGGGGTTATTAGACCATTAAAGGGACGCGTTGATTGTCGCATTGCTCACTGTGTTGATCCAACTGGTGGATGCAAGCCAGGTAAGCATGCAGAACGTGTCAGATTATGGAAGTATGTCTTACCTGAAGGGTGCCAGGTTCTCTATGCCATCCTCGCTGATCGTGGATACGAGTGACATTGGGCGTGGTAGAATGCCTGAATTCAAGAGCTTGTTGAGATTGCTGTCGATCACGGTCACGATCTCGGCTGATAAACAGGTGGAGGAGTACGTACGTCTTGTCCATTTCTGCTGTGCTATAGACGTTCCAGCCTGCAGATTCGCCTGCAAGCCAGTCTTTTCCGGCAGGAGTGACATCGACTTTCTAGCCATATGTCCAGGATGGATTGGGTGATTGGGTGGTGGTGGAGTAGGAGGTGGTATCGAATGGAGGGATGTACATGGTTGGTGGATTGGCTGGATGAAGACAGCAAGACTCACCCTGTATTTATAGTTACATGGTCGCAAATATCGAGGCCAGTCTTCACGCATACGAGGTCGAAGCGCTGATAACGCATGATGATGACTGCTTGGCTTACAATGCTATCTCATAAGGACGCAAGTTGGGGATCGGACGATGCGTAGAGTTGGCGCTTGCGGGTGGTAGATGAACGCATAGAACCGTGTCGAGACTCGAGTCCGTGATCGCATTTTGAAGTCAGCCACAGTGCTCGATATGTCAGAACTTACAAATGGATCAGGTGCTCCCACGTAACTCTACTAATAAGAGGTGATAGACCGGTCCACACCACTAAGACGAGGGTTAGGACCTTGCCCCAAGGCAACATAATGGGTTACCCATTGTGTAAGTGTCTTTCATCGCCTCTATTGGCTGTAATGTACTGATTGGAAAAACGAGCTGTCAAACGGTTGAGAAATTGTGTGAGAACGTGCTTGGGCACAGCGCTGACGGTCGGATGTTGCCGTCCCTGTAGTTTATCTGAGGCAGCCGATGCAGGCACCCTGTATTCCCGTGCATATTCACCCATCCCCACACGAAGGAAAGGGTAATGCAGTTGATAAAAATGCAATGCTGAGAGCTGTGCGGATGTGGTTCTGGGGTGAAATCATGCATTACCTTTGTTTTTAGTGTCGTTGGCTTTCGTCATCCGTCAGCAAATTCAAGTTTGCTCTATATTTATCATGCAACATGGGAAGAGGCCTGCCACCTGCCAAATAGAGGTTGAATGTCAGGCGAGTCCGTTGTTGTGCACACAAGGATCTTGGAAGTCTGTTGGATGGAGAATTGATATTGTAGTAAGCTATATACATGCGTTCGAAGGAGTAACGTGGTGATAGGCTGGAGTAGCTGCTAGATACGAAAACAGCGGTATTCATGCAGGATAGGCAGTGAGATTCGAGCGCTGGAAAGACTGCTGGACTTGATGGGATGGGATAGATTCTGGAAGCTGCGAAGACAAGAGTCGGACGCATGTAGGCACTGCAGATGTGCATACTGTCGAGGACAGCTGGTACTATGACTGTACTAGGGTGGGTGCGTTACGGTGATGGAGGCGTGGGCACTAACAGCCTTAGATGTCCTGGGCGTCTATTGAAATGAGGCAAGCAGCGAAGCACCATAAAACACACCATACGCCCTCTGCAGCTTAGAGAAAGACATAATCCCTCCAAAGTTTAGCATCGTCCGTATTACATACCATCGACATCCAGTAAAATGTCGGAGCCCATTACAATCACCACTCCCCTGCGATTGTTCAAAGGCCATGAAGAACGCATAACTGCAGTCACAGTGTTCCCTGATAAACGTCGGATGGTTACGGGCTCGAACGACAGGACGCTTCATCTGTGGGACTTGAAGACAGGTGTTGCGTTGAAGAAGATGGAAGGGCATCGCAATTTGGTGTGGAGATTGGCGGTATCACGAGATGGGCAATTGATAGCAAGCGGTGATAATGGTGGAGATGTCATCGTCTGGCACGGAGAAACTGGCGAATCACTCACCAAAATAAAAGCACACTCCGGTTCTATCACCTCGCTGGATTTTTCTCCCGATGGAACAGTGCTGGCGACTGGTTCATTTTGGGGAAAAATGACGTACCTGTGGAATACCACAGCCTGGCACCTGCAAGGAAATCCAATCGAGTGTGGTATTTTTCTCTATTGCGTACGGTATTCACCGTCTGGAGAACTTCTTGCCATCGCGACAAAACACGATATTCAAATTTACAATTCAGGCACAAGGAAGTGCGTCACATCATTCAAGGCTCACACAACATTGAACTTGTCACTCGCATGGACACCCGATGGCACACGCCTTCTCACAGGCGGCTATGGGGATGATCCTACTATACGCGAATGGAATACAACACCCTGGAAGCAGGTCGGTGATCCTTGGACGGGCCACACTGACCAAATCAATGCCATTGCCATTAATCCTGCTGGTACACTCGTCGCATCCGCATCTAGTGACTACCATGTTCGTCTCTGGCAGCTCTCAGATCGACGAACCATTGCCGTCTTCAAGCACTCAATCGCCAATTCATGCGTCACTTTCTCCGTGAACGGCAATCACATCTTCAGTGGAGGTTACGATAAGATGATCTCAGAGTGGACAGTACCTCAGGGTATACATTCAAAGGCACGTTTCCGTCTCTGAATCATATACCACAAATCGAGCATGCTTCTTGTAGACTATTGCCACCACAACAGTCCGCGATACATGCATAGATCGAGACTTATCTACTGACGAAGAACTCCTCATGCAAGATATCAATACCGACGCGAACAACCATATTCCCTACGTCCATCGCTCAAAGGCATCCAAGTTGGACGATGCTCCCGAAGCTCAGATACGAGGTAAGCCATGGAACATTACTACCTCGTCTCGAAATGCCTATCTTGTTCTGCAGATCTGCGTCAGCAGTACGTCTGTCCATCGGAAGCAGAAGACGCTATTCGAGGAGCGGTTTCAATTGAGCTCAGCAACGCCCCCCTTCGTCTGCTCAACACCTCTACGGGGATTCTGTGCGACCGAGCAGCACAGCTGAACTCCTTCAAAACAAGTCCAGAGTACAAGGAGCTTTTGTCATCCATAACAAAGCGTTCGGATCTCGACATGGAACGCATCAGGGGGGTGGTGGCGATGCACTTCCGTTGCGTTTTGCTATCACACAGGTGGGAAGAGACGGAGGTGCTGCTGCACCACATCCAAAATAAAGATGTGCGCAAGTTGAAGGGACTTGGTGGCATCACGAAACTGCTGTCGTTCTGCAAAGTCGCTCGTGATGCGGGGTATCTCTGGGCGTGGATGGATACATGCTGCATCGATAAGAGCAACAACGCCGAGCTTGGAGAATCGGTCCAATCCATGTTCGTCTGGTATCGTCACTCGGCCCTCACCATCGTCTACCTATCCGATGTCCCTCCTTCGTCCCAACCCGGTGCACTAGCAAGCAGTGTTTGGAACGAGCGGGGATGGACCTTTCAAGAATTTGTCGCTCCGAAAGTCGTTAGATTTTATCACAAGGATTGGTCGTTGTATCTCAACGATCGCTCTCTCAACCACAAAGAGTCCCCAGCAATAATGAAGGAGTTGGAGAGTGCGACGGGAATAGATGCACAGGCCCTGATCTCCTTCCGTCCAGGGATGAGAGACGCTAGACAGAAACTGCAATGGGCATCGAAGCGCGTCACCACTGTGCAGGAAGACACCGCGTACTCGTTATTTGGTATCTTCGACGTCCACCTACCTGTCATCTATGGGGAGAGGAAGCAGAGCGCGCTCGGCCGGCTCCTGCAGGATATCGTGTCTCGGTCTGGCGACATCACTTCCTTGGACTGGGTCGGACAATCATCCGAGTTCAACAGTTGCCTTCCAGCCGACATCATCTCCTATGCAACCCCGCCATACTCCCTACCATCATTGTCTGAAGATGAGATTCAGACAGCGGTCTCTTCGTTGCGAAATATTGTGCTTGTGGATTTAGCTTCGAAGTTGTATAATCTACTCAAGAACACGAATGCTCCCCTCTTTGCAAACTGCAGACTGCGTCTTCCTTGCATCGCATTCCGTGTCACGGAAGTCAAACGGAAGCGGGGTCATACTGCCCATTTCACGTATGGAGTGAAAGCAGATGGGCTTCGAGACTTGCTGATCACCACGGACGAGACCCTAATTAAATTCTCGCGCACAAGGCCCACTCAGCAGATGTTCTTCCTTGTCCGTCCATGGGACCGTCGTCTCCTTGGGCTGCCTGATTTTTCAGAGCAGCCTACCTTTGCAGACGAAGGGGAAAGCGTAGGGGATTGGTCCGAGTCTGGATCAGACGACACTGACGAGCGGTCCAGCAACTCACCTGGAGAAGAGAAGTTGTCAGTTGACTCGGATGTTCACTTACGATCATTGCGTTTGATGGTGCACCTTGGGCAGGCTTTCAGCGCACTTTTGGTAGCGGAGCAACGTGTTGGAGAATACAAGAGGGTCGCATCGGACCAATATATCATTGCGCAGGTGAAAGACCCGGCTTCGATTGACATTATGAACATCGAGACCCTAGACATATTGTAGCTGAATGGTGTTTTTACAACACGTCAACGATCACATTATCATAGCCTCATATATCATACATACCTACAAATGACCCTCGCAAATACAAGATTTCAACATTTGACATGCAGAGGCACCATGTGCTCTCGAGGTGGTTGGAGAGGACGATATCGTGTGTCTGTATTAAAGTCAACACGTGCACTTGGACCGTGTTGAGTAACACATCCGGTTGTTTGGATTCATGGCTATTGCCAAACCACATCCTGAAAGCACCTAAGTACATAGTTCGTTTGCAATGGAGCATACACGATTATTCGTATGCGGTGGCAGGCTGTAATCTAGTGTAGTAACTCGGCGCATTCTTGGTGCATAGGTCAGGCTTGGGTTATCAATTAGATATTACTGTCTGGATTCTGCTGCAATCGCAAGATGCTCACCGGATAGCGAACATCGAACGCACTTCAACGCAGCGGGCATCACTAACTGGACTGGAGTTCCTTGCCACGGAAATTCATTCGAGCGTAGTAGTGGCATCAGCCATGTCTCCTTTACTTCACAGCTTCGTACTTCGATCCAATGAACAAGCAACCATGGCCCGGGAAATTATACTTACTAGGAGATACCGGAGCGCTGTCGTTGACTGCGAATGAGATGACAAGAGGGTAGTTCGTGACCTATTGGAAGTGGTTATTGAACAATTGAAGACACATCGTTTGTCGTATTACTCACTGTGTTAAACCAACTGGTAGATGCAACCCAGGTAAGTGTGCGAAGTGTGTTGGATAACGGAGGTGTGTCCTACCTGAACGGTGCCAGGTTCACTACGCCATCCTCGCTGATCGTCACTGGTATACGAGGGCCCTTCAATCTTCTTCAACAGGACACCTATCTTCAAAAGTGCGACAGGGTGTATGCCTTCTCCGTGATCTTCGAATGTTCAGACGGGCGTGGAGCTTGGAATAAGGAGCCCCATTTTACTTGAAGCTGAGGTGGGCTTGACAGAGGAATCTAATACTGAATTAACTTGCCTTGTATCTATAGACGCCCAGGACATGAGGCTGTTATGATAAGCGTCTTCTTGAAGATGTCGATGCAAGCGACTGGACATGTGTCCAACTCACGTCGCCACAACTTTCCATATGTAACACAGAGAGTTCTTCTAACCTCTGTAGCGAGTATTTGCATGCTTTAGGTGTTGATGTGGAGGAAGACGAAGGAAATCAATGCTAACGTACGTTGATTTCCACCTTAATTGTCTCAAGCACCCTTCTGCAAACCGGCCTTTCGCGAGATGAGACGACGAGGGGTCGGGAGTCAGCGGCAAAGTACATACAGAAAGGTACCTTTGATAGCGGCACTTGTGAAGTACCCTCCAGCAGAGTGCCATTTGGTAAAGGCCGCTCTCTAAGACCATCTCATCAAAAGCTCATAAGCTCAGCTGAAGATATGTCTTTGGTGGAGAATGTTACACAAGTCGTCAAAACAGAGTGCGGGAAGATGGCGACGGTTCGCCAACCTGACAGCTGCCTCGTGAGACGTCGTGAGATGCGGAAGCGATCAGATGCCAGCAGCATAAACATATGGTGGCATGGATGACATCACCGACCAGCTTCCAAGTCAATGACTTCCACCGTGCTTCCTGCATGGCGGGGTCATATTCACCTGGGGAGATGAATGGGGTCCATGTCTTACTAGGGTGTCTAAGGAAACACCAGGCAAGTCAATGGGGTGAAGCAATATAGAAACGCATGATATACGCACCTCTGCAGCCTAAAGAAAGACACCCACAATCCATTCAAAGTATACCTCGACTGTGCTCCACATCGTCAGCATCCAACAAGATGTCGATTTTTCTCGCCTTGAGGATCATGAGAGCGGGGCAACCGCAGTCGCAGGTTTTCCCGATAGACAACGACGACAAGACGCTTTAGCTGTGGGACTTGAAGACAGGTTTGTGTCGAAAAATATGGAGGGGCAGCGCAGTGAGATGCGGCCATTAGCAGTGTGGCGATGGTGAGGAGATTCCGAGGCTGTACCACGAATTTTGGTTGTATCTTGTGCACACAAGGATCTGGGAGTCTGTTGGATGGAGAAGTGATATTGGAGTAAGCTATATACATGCGTTTGAAGGAGTAACGTGGTGATAAGCTGGAGTAGCTGCTAGATACGAAAAACAACGGTATTCATGCAGGATAGACAGTGAGATTCGAGCGCTGGAAAGCACGGACTGCTCGACTTGATAAGAGATACATTTTGGAAGCTGTGAAGACAAGAGTCGGACGCATGTATGCACTGCAGATGTGCATACTGTCAAGGACAGCGGCGGTTATGACAATGGGGTGCGTGCATTATGGTGATGGAGGCGTGGGCACGAACAGCCTTAGATGTCCTGGGCGTCTATTGAAATGAGGCAAGCTGTGAAGCACCATAAAACGCACCATACATCCTCTGCAGCTTAGAGAAAGACATAATCCCTCCAAAGTTTAGCCTCGTCCGTATTCCATACCATCAACATCCAGTTAAAATGTCGGAGCTCATTACAATCACCACTCCCCTGCGATCGTTCAAAGGCCATGAAGAAGGCATAACTGCAGTCGCAGTTTTCCCTCATAAACGTCGGATGGTTACGGGCTCGCACGACACAACGCTTCGTCTGTGGGACTTGAAGACAGGTGTTGTGTTGAAGAAGATGGAGGGGCATCGCAATAGTGTGTGGAGTTTGGCGGTATCACGAGATGGACAATTGATAGCAAGCGGTGATAGAGTCCCGGGAGAGGTCATCGTCTGGCACGGAGAAACTGGCGGATTACTCACAAAAATCGAAGCACACTGCAATTATATCTCGTCGCTGGATTTTTCTCCCGATGGAACAGTGCTGGCCACTGGTTCATATTTGGCAACAATGACGAAACTGTGGGATACCAAAACCTGGCAGCTGCAAGGAAATCCGATCAAGTGTAATTATGTCCGCTGCATGCGGTATTCACCGTCTGGAGAACTTCTTGCCATCGCAACAGAAAGCCATATTCAAATTTACAATTCTGGCACGAGGAAGTGCGTCACATCATTCGAGGCTCACGAATCATTCTCGTCACTCGCATGGACGCCCGATGGCACACGCCTTCTCACAGGCGGCAATATTGTTGATCCTACTATACGCGAATGGGATACAACAACCTGGGAGCAGGTCGGTGATCCTTGGACGGGCCATACTGACTACATCGAAGTCATTGCCATTCATCCTGCTGGCACACTCGTCGCATCCGCATCTAGTGACAACCATGTTCGTCTTTGGCAGCTCTCAGATCGACGAACCATTGCCGTCTTCAAGCACTCAGACGCCAATTTCTGCGTCACTTTCTCCGTGGACGGCAATCACATCTTCAGTGGAGGTTACGATAAGATGATCTCAGAGTGGACAGTACCTCAGGGCATACATCCAAAGGCATGTTTCCATCTCTAACTCATATACCACAAATCGAGCATGCTTCTTGCAGACTATTGCCACCACAACAGTCCTCGATGCATGCATAGATGGAAACTTGTCTACTGACTCGGACGAAGAACTACTCATGCAAGATATCAATACCGATGTGAACAACCGCACTCCCTACGTCCATCGCTCAAAGGCATGTTTTTGTTCTTGACTCATATATACCACAATTAGATCATGTTTCGTGCAGATCCTAGCCATCACGACCTCCCGTATTGCATGTCTAAATGGAGACTTATCTACCGCCGAAAAACTACTCACTCAAGATATCAACACCAGTCCGAGCAACCATACTTCCTACGCCCATCGGTCATTTGTCATGGCGCGAAAATGCGACTGGGACTGCGCCCTTTTGGACGCAATCAAGGTGAGAATCATCGCCGCCTTATACAGGGCTAACTCGACGGTGACATAGTCCATCAGGATTCAGCCTTCATTGACGGGCTATATCTCCAAGGGTATTGCCCTCTGTGGAAAAGGCCGCGTTCTGTATGCGAGGGCAGCATTTGATGTTGCATCCATGTACACGGACCAGGATTCAGAAATCACTCATTTTCTGCTATTGATCAAGGTATGGTACATTTGCCTTGCATACTCTTCCCTTCATCGCGTATTTCAGGCCATCGCGCTCTTCAATGCAGCTCAACATGATGAAGCAAACCTACTTCTCAAAGAGCTTGCTGCCGGTTGTCTGAATACCGACACTCTCGCATGTGGCATCGTGCAAGTAAGTGTCATGCATGGTCATTGGATCAACAATCATCTTTACAACTCGCACATTAGGCATATCTACACGTTCAACTCGGGATCAAAGCCTTGGATGGCGCACGCTACGACGAAGCCGCCGATCATTTCACTGCCGCTATCGAATCCAGCGATTTATCATCGGAATCGGACATTCATGAAGTATATGAAGATTTGGTGGTGGTACGTCAAGATGATGCATATATGACGCTTCTCATAACTGAATCTCTTGTCCAGCTCTTTGGCTGGGACCTGAAGTCCTTGTGGCAAAAGGCACACCATAAACGCTGTGATGCACTCCTTCGGGCGGGTAAACTCCAAGATGCCGTGAAATCATACCAACACATGATGACTTCAAGTGACGAAATCACCAAAGCCGACTGCCTTGATTGGTCCAACGGCGAGTCTAGAGCCAGTAATGTCGCGCAGGCTACAATGCTCACATGTATTCCTCTCAGTTTTCAAACAGGAATGCAGCACACTCTGCACTGCCAAGGGAGAGGCTGCCTTCGCTGCAAGCGATTACGACAAGGCTATTGACCTATACTCGATGGCGATCGACCTGGATTCTGCAGTCCGATATCTTCTTTGCAAGTCGCAGCCGAGGCAAAGTTAATGTAAAATGCTAGTGGGAGGATGCGCTCCTCGACGCGCGAAAGGTGCGATGGCATCCACTTTCTAGTAGCCCATGTTGACTTCGGCGATGCATAGGTCACTGAACTCAATCCTTCGTCTCATGTTGGGTACCAGTTGTCACACTCAGCGCTGCGTGGCTGCACAACGTTACTGAAGAAGCCATCGAGGCCTTCACAATCATGTTGTCCAAGTTGGACGATGCTCCACAAGTGCAGATACGAGGTGAGACATGGAACACTCCTGCGTTGTCTCGAAATGCCTATATTGTTCTGCAGATCTGCGTCAGCAGTACGTCTGTCCATCAGGAAGCAGAAGACGCTATTCGAAAGCAGTTTGGATTGAACTCAGCAACGCCCCCCTTCGTCTACTCAACACCTCCTACGGGGTCTTTGTGCGACCGAGCAGCGCAACTAAGTTCCTTCAAAACAAGTCTAGAGTATAAGGAGCTTTTGTCATCTATAATGAAGCGTTCGGATCTCGAAATGGAACGCATCAAGGAGGTGGTGGCGATGCACTTCCGTTGCGTTTTGCTATCACACAGGTGGGAAGAGACGGAGGTGCTGCTGCACCACATCCAAAATACAGATGTGCACGAGTTGAAGGGACTTGGTGGCATCACGAAACTGCTGTCGTTCTGCAAAGTCGCTCGTGATGCGGGGTATCTCTGGGCAGTGGATGGATACATGCTGCATCGATAAGAGCAACAACGCCGAACTTGGAGAATCGGTCCAATCCATGTTCGTCTGGTACCGTCACTCGGCGCTCACCATCGTCTACCTATCTGATGTCCCTCCTTCATCCCAACCCGGTGCACTAGCGAGCAGTGTTTGGAACGAGCGGGGATGGACCTTTCAAGAGTTTGTCGCTCCGAAAGTCGTTAGATTTTATCAGAAGGATTGGTCGTTATATCTCGACGATCGCTCTCTCAACCACAAAGAATCTGAAGCAATCATGAAGGAGTTGGAGGGTGCGATGGGAATAGATGCACAGGCCCTGATCTCCTTCCGTCCAGGGATGAGAGACGCTAGACAGAAACTGCAATGGGCATCGAAGCGCGTCACCACTGTGCAGGAAGACACCGCGTACTCGTTATTTGGTATCTTCGACGTCCACCTACCTGTCATCTATGGGGAGAGGAAGCAGAGCGCGCTCGGCCGGCTCCTGCAGGATATCGTGTCTCGGTCGGGCGACATCACTTCCTTGGACTGGGTCGGACAATCATCCGAGTTCAACAGTTGCCTTCCAGCCGACATCATCTCCTATGCAACCCCGCCATACTCCCTACCATCATTGCCTGAAGATGAGATTCAGACAGCGGTCTCTTCGTTGCGAAACATTGTGCCTGTGGATTTAGCTTCGAAGTTGTATAATCTACTCAAGAACACGAATGCTCCCCTCTTTGCAAACTGCAGACTGCGTCTTCCTTGCATCGCATTCCGTGTCACGGAAGTCAAACGGAAGCGGGGTCATACTGCCCATTTCACGTATGGAGTGAAAGCAGATGGGCTTCGAGACTTGCTGATCACCACGGACGAGACCCTAATTAAATTCTCGCGCACAAGGCCCACTCAGCAGACGTTCTTCCTTGTCCGTCCATGGGACCGTCGTCTCCTCGGGCTGCCTGATTTTTCAGAGCAGCCTACCTTTGCAGACGAAGGGGAAAGCGTAGGGGATTGGTCCGAGTCTGGATCAGACGACACTGACGAGCGGTCCAGCAACTCACCTGGAGAAGAGAAGTTGTCAGTTGACTCGGATGTTCACTTACGATCATTGCGTTTGATGGTGCACCTTGGGAAGGCTTTCAGCGCACTTTTGGTAGCGGAGCAACGCGTTGGAGAATACAAGAGGGTCGCATCGGACCAATATATCATTGCGCAGGTGAAAGACCCGGCTTCGATTGACATTATGAACATCGAGACCCTAGACATATTGTAGCTGAATGGTTTTTTTACAACACATCGACGATCACATTATCATAGCTTCATATATCATACATACCCCGCAAATGACCCTCGCGAATACAAGATTTCAAAATTTGACATGCAGAAGCACCATGTGCTCTCGAGGTGGTTGCAGAGGACGATATCGTGTGTCTGCATTAGTAGAGTAGAGTCAACATGTGCGCTTGGACCGTGTTGAGTAACACATCCGGTTGTTTGGATTCGTGGCTATTCCAAAATGAAAGCACCCAAGTACATAGTTCGTTTACAATGGAGTATACACGATTATTCGTATGCGGTGGCAGGCTGTAATCTAGTGTAGTAACTCGCGCATTCTTGGTGCATAGGTCAGGCTTGGGTTATCAATTAGATATTACTGTCTGGATTCTGCCGCAATCGCAAGACGCTCACCGGGTAGCCAACATCGAACGCACTTCAATGCAGCGGGCATCACTATCACACTGGACTGGATTTCCTTGCAACGGAAATTCATTCGAGTGTAGTAGTGGCGTCAGCCATGTCTCCTTTACTCCACAGCTTCGTACTTCGATCCAATGAACAAGCAACCATGGGAATTATACTTACTAGGGGATACCTGCACTCCGCAGCGGTCCGAGTGCCTGATGCCCTAGGCGTCTAATATGCAGATTGAGGCTGTGAAGAAGCAAAAAGGCCCGGCACCTCTTGGATCAAGACACTCACAAGCTCTCCAGCAAATCGTGCTCCACATCGTCCACCTCGAGCAGAATGGCGGAAGAAGAACATCCTGCTATCCGAATCACCACGACTAGTCAAATATTTAGAGGCCATAGACATAGTGTATTTACAGTTGCAGAATTCCCCGATGGACGCCGTATGGTGACGGCCTCGTATGACAAGACCCTTCGACTATAGGACTTGGAAAACGGTGTCGTATTGAAGATAACTGAGGGGCATCACTGGGGCATACGAGTAGCTGCAGTATCGAGAGACGGGCAATTCATAGCAAGCGATAATTTTGGCGGGGAGCTCATAGCCTGGAACAGGGATGGCGAATTTCTCACCCAGCCCATCTGAGTCAAAGTCCACTCCTACAAGATTTTCTCGCTTGACTTTTCTCCAGACAGCACATTTCCGGCAAGTGGCTCTCGATGGACCACACAGTAGAGCTCTGGAACACAAAAACATGGTGGGTGGAGGGAAATCCAATAGGCAGAGACCTGGATGTAGCGTAGGTAAGCAAGGTATACCACAAAAATGGTAAGGCACCGAGGGTAGGGGCTAGGTGTAGTGTAGGTTAGTAGGCAAGGTACATATCAAAGAAGCAGCGAGAACGATACGCGTATGCCAGCGAACTAGTCTCGTGAACTAGCCGCGAAGGGAATGGGCGTCTGGAAGAACTTGCACTTTCAAACTCCGCATATACCAAAAACGGTACCGTGTTGTGGAGGACATCCAGGAAACGGCCAGTCTGGGGCCAAAGTCTGGGGGCTGCGGCTGACGCGTGCGGAGCTTAATTCTGAGTTCCAATTATATTTGGTCACGTTTGCAATACCAGTGTGACTCCATCATTGTGAGTTGTGACCCGCCCTTTGTGACCTCTTGCAGGCCGCACTGCGCTCGGTGACATCATGATCAGTCCCAGTGAGAATCGGCTGTGCTCGAATAGGGCTGAATGTGTTGAATGTGCGTTTGAGAGACAGCGCACATACAGTAATACTCGCGCATTTTGCTCGATATCCGGACTGACAGCATATTTTCTATAAGACGGGGCAGTGCCCATGTACTCTATTGTGCTTCTTTTACATTGCGCACATTTAGGCACAGTCCGCACACTCGCGCTGTCCTCCCAGAATGGCTTAAATTATGCTTGATGCTTAGTAGGTATTATGCGGAATACCAATCGGTATACGAAGCAGCTGGAAAATAGTGAAACCGATGCGAACAGGTGGAGATACCTTGAAAAACACGTCGAGAGCCGAGCAGAAACGAATAGACAACAGCCTGAGAGCGGATCGCAAACATCGAGAGCCGAGCAGAAAGGATGTAGACACAGAGCAGATCGAAAACATGTTGAGAGTAGACAGCGGAGGAGGTCGAAAATGGGAAGCAGAAAACACAGCAACGAAGGTGCGGCAGATACTGGTAGCAGAATCAAGACACGTTGAGGAAGCACAAGTGTTGGGATGGCTGATACAGTGGACAAGCTAGTAGATTTGGCCCTCGTTGACATTCTTGTTCCACACATCGTTGGCCACCTGGAAAAACTTTTGATTCAGTATCATAGACAAGCGAGTAAACAACAATATACCAAATTCTTGGCTTCCTCGTTTGTATTCTAAAATTGAGCATCAAATAAGATTAGTACTGACAGGAGGCACGATGATGGCGGGCGGCTTTGGAATTGTCACAAAGCAAACACGTGACAAAAACAATCAAACTCAGCCCGGGTCAGCCGTTTTTGCCGAACGCCCAGACTCTGCCCCAGACTTTGGCCCCAGA